ACATTAATATGATTGATTCGGCTCGTTTCAGACTTGTTTTACCTTCGTAGAAGAATGATTTCAATGAGTAAGAGCTTTGTAATGCAAAACCGATTAAAAACGTTTGTTTACGAGTCTATTACAATAATAAATAAACAGGTTTGTATTGTAACTAGTTTATAATCATTTAAATTTAATTTTTTGTTTTGGGATTTGTGAGTTCTACGTCGTTTGCAGTCGTCGCCCCATGCGGTCCGCAACCCAACAAGCACAACAAGTGTTTCGCATTTGTTTTGTGATTTTTTTGGTGGCGTGTAGATGGCGATAAAGGTGCTAATGTGATTGACAGCTCGGGGCCGACGCGTCTCCCGCGTGCGCTCGAAATTATCGAACACGAAGAGCAGCGCGCGGGTCCGGGCCCCGTCCGACGCAATTTATCTTGGGCAAAAGCGATATCTCATTTATCAAGCCGCACCAATCACTCACGCCTCACGTCGCTCATGTGCCGCGCGCATCCATCACTCTCACCTTTTAACCCCCGGCGAGGCAGCGCTCGCTCGGGCGTTATTATAACGCGCGTTGTCGCGCGTGTGAAATATGATCCAATAGATCCGTTATTATTGCGTGCGCCGCGACGTGCGTGCGTCGTCCCGCGGCGACTGTAATTTAGTTATTTCACTTCGGAAGATAAACAACGCAGCGTGTTTGTGGTTGCCTAGCAACGCGTTGTTGTCGCGGGTAAGAAAATGTTTCGACATAACTCGTTACAAATCGACATGCGCATGCGCACACGGGTGACAACTGATAAGCGACGGGATTTACCGAAATTCCAGCTCGGCGCGCAATATCTGCAGGCATCTGCTTGGGCGCATCGTATTTTTCATAAATTATTTAGCACAATAGATATAATTTATACGGAATGCCGTTGTGTCCCGCGCTGTAGATGGCGATGGCGAGGCCTGTGTGCGCGCGCGCGCGCGCGCGGTACGCATCGCCATAAATAAAGCCCGACGACGACGACAACGGCGCGCGGGTCAACGAGGAGAAGAACCCCAAGCCGCGCGCGCGCGCGCGCATGGCCTGTCGCGATCAACATTTGGATTAAATGTTAAACTGTAATACATTCTTTTAATTCTTCGTAACTACGCAGTTATGCGGCTCCTTCGTGGAAGCGCTGCTAGGAGCCGGTAATTTATTGGATTTTCCTTCTATCGTTCGCGTTCGCCGTGTTTACAATGTCGGTTCCCATAATGCACACACATGCGGGAATACTTGGCACTGTTGTATGCTGTGCGGTGAGGCTCGAGATTTTAGTTTTCGATGTTTGTTTGCGCAGCGCTCAAGAGTTGGAAACTTTCTTCCGCGTCGAGTGCTTAATTACACGCTTTATTTCGGTCGCGCGTTGCTTCAATTATGTGAATGTAAGGCGAACGCCATGACTAAAGAGTTGAAGAGGCACTTGGGTGACTCTCGAGTGACCACCCTGCGACGTATGGAGATTTTTACTCGTTCAAACAATGAGATTATTGTGTCAAGAATTATAATCGTCATCGTGAGTAATCGTTGCACTTCACACGCCATTTTTGACTGTCAAAGTCAATCCACTTGGTATCATTCAGACACTGTTGAGTACCTTGTTTAATTATCGTTGAATTGATGGTAAACGTGTTGGATTTGGTGTGATATTGACCGAATTAGAGATAAAATAAATTTTTCGTGTTTTTCACGGTTTTAAAGCACAAAAAGTGGTATTTTAATCACGGAGGGCTAAAGTCGTGACTAAAGTACTTTAGTCACGGAGTAGAGCTTGCGCCTGTACGCAAAACAATTTAAATACACAAGCTAATCATGGAAATAAGGTGAAAATAGAAAATATTTTGTATGCATCACATCGCTAAACGTGGTTAAAGTGCTGCTTAGCGCACTAGATATTTAATATACTATTGTTTACTCATGAGTGATTTTTTTCTCATTTTTATGTCAGGGAATTTGTTTACCGCGGGCGTGGCAATGTCGTAAAGCAAATTCTCCACGGCCAACAATAAAGTTAATGAATTTCCCCACGTTGGAGTGGCCCACATTGTGTTCTTTCCTAATATTCAATAAACTAGCTTTTGGCAACCGAAACGACGCGATTCGAGCAGCTCGGGTTGGCGTGTGTGGTGCGCCGGTCGCGGGTTGATGAACGGCCACCCGAAAACGACAGATTGGTTTATAATAATCGCCGCGAGAGCCGCCGACCGACGTCGCGCGCATAATAATAGATTAATTTACATAAATCGAAACCGAAACGCATGGGACAACGAGAACGAAACAGAAGAATATCTATTACGCAACTGACTGCCGGGCACGATAAACAAAGAGGAACAAAACGCGCGCGTAATTAATTGTGTTTAAAAATTATGATTGCCAAGGCGGGAATTAATTACGCATAAACAAAAGACATGCATTTGTTTGCATAGTTTTAAGAGGGGGGGGGGATAGAAGTGTGTTTGTGTTTGGTTTTAATTAATAATTTTAAATTTTGATAATGAAATAGAATTTGATTTTGCATGAAATGCTTGCAATTAAAAAATAATGCCTGCTCGTTGAAATCTTTAAAGTTGTCACTTTATATTTGACAAATATAAATTACTAGCTTTAACCCGCGGCTTCGCTCGCGAATATCTAAAATAATGAAGGTGCTTCCGTACGCGTCTGAAGTCACAGGAGAAGTGACAATGAAGTAGAATGGCGGGAAGTTTAAAATGGCTGAAAGTATAGTCTATGGAAGTATAGTATACAGCCTCCATAGTGTAGTTAATTGGATTTGATGTTGACGTAGCTGTCGGTAATACAGTGTGATAATACAGTGTGATGGTACTATAGTACTTAGGTTTGAGCTTCATTGCTGGAATGCTAGATGGCGTTAAAGTAGTCAAATAGCCAGATGCAGAGGTATTATTGGCTAAACTATTTCTATATTTTATTAAAAAAATAATTTTTTTTATTAAATAAAAAGTAGCCTATAACCATTCGGGGACCACTAAGAATATGTGTACAAATTTTCATGATGATCGGTTAAGTAGTTTTTGCGTGAAAGTGTAACAAACATCAGGACTTTCGCATTTATAATATTAGTAGGGATGTGATAATTTAATCTTAATGTGACAGACGAGCATTATAAAATCTGTACGCTCAATATTGTGTATATTAAACAGTCAACTCTCTGTCACACATGGTTTATTATAGTGCCATCTATTAGAAAACGGCTAAACTGTATTTTTCAAAATTAAATTGAGGCGAAAATCGCGACAAATCGTTGATTTTGCTTAACATTTTTTGCAGAAACTGGCAACCCAATCAACACCACACTTTAGGCATTTCTGTATCTAAAACAATCTCCGAATTAAAGCTTCTTCCTCAAGAGAATCTGTTGCATTCTTTAGAAAATTGCGAAAAACTGTTAAACTACAAATCATTTTTCTTCCCAAAATACCGCACCAATATGAATAAAAATTGATACTGAACTAGATCATAGACTGATTGATTAGTACACCAAATTTCATAGTCTAATTTTTCGTAATTTCCGAGATTAACGAATTTTTGTAAATTTTTCTTTAATTTGTTGAGAAAATTGAAAAATCAGACCAAAACAATGTTTTTTTATTTCATTAAAGAACTTCAAGTCCTCTCTGAAATAAATTCTAAACTTGCTCGTGCTTTCGAAGAACTAATCCGAACGTGCGCAATTCAAATGCGCAATTATTCACTCATTCGGAATGAGAATTATTCATTCATTACGCGAACCGCCTTACTTGCGCGTAAAGTCGGGCATGCGCGCATTACTTAACGCGGTGACATTCTTTACGACACATTGTGCGTTCATCTCTGCGTACAGATTCGAAGAGATTAAAGCGCACGCGGCCGAACGCGCCGGCCTGCTTACCATATCGAATCAAATTTCGATTGCCATTTAAGCTGCCGCGCCGCGTTCCGGCTAATTAATTTCCGCTTAATTAGCCTTAACCGCCGCGACGCATGAATATTCATGCGATTCGATTAATTCATTATGTTTACATTAAAATTCCGGCTAATAACAATTAAACAGCGATTAAGCGCATGCGGGGTTGCCTAGCAACCATAAACAAAGCACCACCATTGCTTTTATTTAGTTTTTCGCTTGTAACTTGCACAATTCCGATCGGATTTCAATCATCTTGGGTTTAAATCACAGCTGATGAAATTGTGCATCTATGTTTGTGAGTAACGGTTGTGAGGTGCAGGTAGTTTGACCTTAATTAGCCGTCGAAATTAGTAATTACGTTTATGCGCGCATTTTATCGCGTTTTCTAATTTCTTCGCGCTGCATTTGCTAAATGTCAAGGTCGACGGTTCAACCACGAGTTAACCTAACCCTATTCAGATCAACCTCATCACGGAGCGCTGAAGTGCGGTTAACGTCTCAACTTAGGATGCTGCTGCTCCTTCTTCTGCGTCGGTGCGAACGAAGTGAAGTGACTAAGATAAAAGACGGAATTTGTTTGGCAACAGCGATAATCACCTTCTGCCGTCGACGTTTTGCATTCGACGCAGCTAATGCGGCGAAATAAACACACGGCGCGTACAAAGCGATATTGAAAAAGTCATCAGCACGTAGCGGCGGTGTAATGTTTCTCTTATTAGACGAATAAATCTTGGCGCGATAAACTCGCGTAATTTCAGCCACAATTTACGGCGTCATCTCGGCTAACGGAGCTCCGCTTTTCGCATAATACACTTATCGTTCGCTCGATTTCGCTTCGCTTTGGCTGCGACTAACGCCTATCGGCGGCTGGTTTCCCTTTTGCGGTAGTGTTATGTGCACGTTAACGACTCACTTGCTTTTTTTCGATTGTTGTTGAGCGGCTAAAATGTAGTCGAGTTTCAAACTCAAGCACACACCGTGTTGAGCTGTTGCTATATTTATTCGAATAATTAGTCTATAATATATGATTTAAACTTATTTTACACTTATTAATGATTTATGTTTTGGTTTACAGGTTTGGTGACAAATTAGGCAACCCAGTTACAAATAACTTCACCTACTTTGCTTTTATGATCTGCGAGAAAACGGTAAATATTACAATTAGATAATTATATCAGATTGTTAATTTTATGTGTTTTTAGGTAAGATTCGTTCGTCCTGGGAGGAATTTTGCTATCTGAAGAAGTGCAGTGATGTTCCTACGAATTTTGTCCTTTTTCGTTTTGTGAGGATTCACCGTCCGCTTGTGGATTCTCCTTAAATCCTAAAATTTCTTTGCAAAAATTGTAATTCTTGATATCCAGAAAGAAAAATGTTCAAAATTTGAAGTTTTTTGGCATTTTCTTTTTTGCACTTTTGTTGTTCGTTGTACATAATAGTTAATTTTTGTTTCTTGTGTATTTTGTATGTAAAATTTGTTATATTAAGGAGGAAATGTAAAAAATGTGCGTATTTATTATTTATATTATTATAAAGGATGGTCGTAAATGTCTACTGGTTGAAACTTTTGATTTGTATTGAGTTATTGTTGTAATTGTTTGAAAATCAATAATATTTTAATAAAGAAATATTAAAAGAGATCGTTTCTTGTATTATTTGTGTTCTCCTGCTTTCTATTCATTTCAGACACAGGTTAGCCTTGGCAAAAATTTCAAGGACAAAAGTGTGGAGACAGCGTTATATTTTGCATTGTTTCTGATTGACTTCAGCGCCTCTGGTATTCACTTAAAAAGTTAATATTTTGGTTCGAAAGACAGGGCCGGCCTTTTATTTTAAATTATTTTTGCTCGAACGACAGGGTCGAACTATTTCTTTAAAATTATTTTGTCCTGAAATAGATTTTAAATTTTAAATGTGAATATCTTCCAAACTAAAAGAGTTACGATAAAAATTATTTCAGCTATTAAAGTATGGCGAATTTCTCTATAGAATAAGTTGATTAAATTATTAATTTTTTCTAATTTTTTAACAAAAAATAAAAATCAAAAATTAATTGTTTTTATTACAGATTATTGAAGAACGAGTGATTGGGAATACTTTATCTTAATAAAATTTTGTTCTAAAGTGTACCGTTTTGATAATAATCAGTGTAATAGAAATCGTTTTCGTGCGAAGTCAAATTTTTCTTGAAAAATGCCAATAGGGCCTAAACGGTCAGTGATAGAAGAAAATTGACCTATTATAATTTATGTAGAATTTAACAAGCTATCTGAATCTGAAATCAAAATTTAAAAATTCCAATTTTTAATTGTTGATAAAAAAATGAAAAAGTTTTGCCTTTTTTATGACGAAATCTTTTCACGGTTTATTCACGGTTTATGTTTTTTATGACATAAATTAAAATTGTGATTTTTGACAAATTTCTTTTTGGATTATGATAAAGTGACTTATTCTGAAGCATTTATTTTAGTAAACTTTTCTTCTACGACCCTTATTTAAGGCCCTATTAAGCCCTTAACTTCGGGAATTGTAATTGAACTGTTTTTCAAATATATCTTTTAAAGTAAGGGTGGAATTAAAAAATTATATTAAAATAAAATGTACAGAATCATCTAATCTCTAATAATCTGAAATAAAAAATTCAAATTTCAAATTTTTATTTTTTGCATAAGAAGTGCTGGAGAAAACGAATAAACCAGTTTTTCGCATTTATCTTGGAAATGATTCAAGATAAAAGAAAATGATTTTCAGATTCATGTAGAGAGCATAATTTTACACCATCTAGCAGTTTGAAAATTTCAATTATCAATACTTATGTAATAAGTGAAAATGGTCAATAACTCGAAAACTAATTACGTCATCAAAACCAAACAAAGATTATTGGATTCCTGGCTTCATTCTACATCATATTGGAAAGTTTCGGGAAAATCGGAGAGGTGGTTCAATTTGGTCGGTTTTGATTTTCACCAAGTTTTTTTGAAATAATGATGATATCGGAAAACTGACTGGATATCTTTCATCGCATTGCAATTCTCTATCGATTGCCGTTTTCCATTTTCTTCTAGCTTAAAAAATAATTTTTAGGCCTCAGAAGAGTCAAGTGTAACCTCTTGACTTTTTCCGAGGGGGTTTTGGTCAACTTTGGAAAATGGAAAAACTGAATCTGCCATTTTAAAAATCGTTATCACGGCATGAAGGAAGTGCGAGAAGTTTTTTTCTAACTTTATTACTTTCCGAGAAAATTGCGTCGGAAAATTGATTTTCACTCTCATAAAAATACAAATTTTAAACTCTTATCTTAAAAAGAATTTTATACTGAACCCAATGCCGTTTTCCGTATGCTTGTATCTTTCTTAGTTTCGGAGATAATCGGTAATTAAGTTGCGCAGGAAGTACTCGTTCTAAATAAATGCATCTACAGGGTAAACTATTAAAGATAATAAATAGCAAGTTTAGTAAATAAGGTAATTAAAAGCTTTTCTATTACGTAATATAATTAGTTTTTGAAAATAACTAGAAACCCTTTCAAAATTGTCAGGCACCTCCGCCATAATTTAATTAATTATTTAGTAATTTTTGTTAACTAAAAAAAGTTGTTTTTTTATAGCTGATAATTAAAGAGAACAATTTTATAAAGCAATTATTTTAATAGATTTTTTTAATTAAACTATTTGTTTGGAAGATATAAGCCAAAAACTGAAATATACTTCATGGCCCAATAGGGCCTTAAGTACTAATTGCAGAAGAAAAGTTTACTAAAATAAATGATTTAAAATCTTCTGTTTTATCATAATTCAGAAAAAAATATTCAAAAACTCAATTTTTTAATTTATGTCATAAAAAGCATAAACCGTGAATAAACCGTGAAAAGATTTCGTCATAAAAAAGGCAAAACTTTTTCATTTTTTTATCAACAATTAAAAATTCGAATTTTCAAATTTTGATTTCGGATTCTGATAGTTTCTTAAATTTTACATAAATTATAATAGGTCAATTTTTCTCTAACACTGACCGTTTAGGCCCTATTGGCATTTTTCAAGAAAAATTTGACTTCGCACGAAAATGATTTCTATAATGCTGATTATTTTCGAAACGGTACAACTTAAAACAAAATTTTATTAAGATAAAGTATTTAATATCACATCTTCTTCAATGTTCTGCAATAAAAAATAAAATTTAAGAGGTGGTGAAAATTTTGGTCGGCAAATAATTTTAAAAATAAGTTCGGCCCTGTCCTTCGGCCTGAATTTATTTTACGAAATTAGTTCGACTCTGTTATTCGACCAAAATAAATGTCAAACTCAATAATGTGAGTGTGTGCTCTTGACCTGTACCTGAAACGATGGAAGGGATACACAAATAATACGAGCATTTTTGCATTTTTAAGGCATTTTTGGACGAAATGTCAGGAAATCTATATATAGGGTGATAGAGATTTTAATTATGTATATTTTGGTAAATAAACAGTTTAGAAAACATAAATAGTTTGCCTTCCACATGCAAAAAACGAAAATTTTCACAACAAAAAAACAGATTATTGCATTTTTGAGGCATTTCTTGGATGAAATTTTAGGAAATCTATATACAGAGTGATAGAGAATTTAATTATGCATATTTTAGTATATAAACAGTTTAGAAAACATAAATAGTTTGCCTTCCACATGCAAAAAACGAAAATTTTCACAACAAAAAAACAGATTATTGCATTTTTGAGGCATTTCTTGGATGAAATTTCAGGAAATCTATATACAGAGTGATAGAGAATTTAATTATGCATATTTTAGTATATAAACAGTTTAGAAAACATAAATAGTTTGCCTTCCACATGCAAAAAACAAAAATTTTCACAACAAAAAAAAACAGATTATTGCATTTTTGAGGCATTTCTTGGATGAAATTTCAGGAAATCTATATACAGAGTGATAGAGAATTTAATTATGCATATTTTAGTATATAAACAGTTTAGAAAACATAAATAGTTTGCCTTCCACATGCAAAAAACAAAAATTTTCACAACAAAAAAAACAGATTATTGCATTTTTGAGGCATTTCTTGGATGAAATTTCAGGAAGTCTATATACAGGGTGATAGGGAATTTAATTATGCATATTTTAGTATAAAAATAATTTAGATAACATAAATCGTTTGCCTTCCATATGCAAGAAACTAAAATTTTAACAACAAAAAAAACAGATTATTGCATTTTTCAGGCATTTCTTTGACGAAATTTCAAGAAATCTATACACAGGGTGATAGAGAATGTAATTATGCATATTTTAATATATAAGTAATTTAGATAACAGAAATGGCCTGTCTTCCACATGCAAAAACGCCTCTCTAAACCCTAAGAAACTGGAATTGCTCAAAAAATAAATATCGAAAATTATTTTTTTTATTACAGAATATGGAAGAACGAGTGATTGGAAATATTTTATCTTAATAAAATTTTGTTCTAAGGTGTACCGTTTTAATAATAATCAGGATTATAGAAATTGTTTTGGTGCGAAGTCAAATTTTTCTTGAAAAATGCCAATAGGGCTTAAACGGTCAGTGTTAGAGGAAAATTGACTTATTATAATTTATGAAGAATTTAACAAGCTATCTGAATCTGCAATCATAATTTAAAAATTCCAATTTTTAATTGTTGATAAAAAAATGAAAAAGTTTTGCCTTTTTTATGACGAAATCTTTTCACGGTTTAATGCTTTTTATGACATAAATTAAAATTGTGACTTTTGAAGAATTTTCTTTTGGATTATGATAAAGTAAATTATTTTGAATCATTTATTTTAGTAAACTTTTCTTCTACGACCCTTATTTAAGGCCCTATAGAGCCCTTAACATATAGAATTGTAATTGAACTGTTTTTCACGTATATCTTCTAAACTAAGGGTGGAATTAAAAAATTATATTAAAATAAAGTGTACAGAATCATCTAATCTCTAATAATCTGAAATAATAAGTTCAAATTTCAAATTTATATTTTTTGCATAAGAAATGATGGAGAAATGGTATAAACCAGTTTTTCGCAGTTATCTTGAAAACGATTAAAGATAAAAGAAAATGGTTTTCAGATTCATATACAGAACATAATTTTACATAATCTAGCACTTTGAAATTTTAAAATATCTAAACTTATGTAATAAGTGAAAATAGTCAATAACTCGAAAACTAATTACGTCATCAAGACCAAACAAAGATTAATGGATTCTTGGTATCATTCTACATCATTCAGGAAAGTTTCGTGAAAATCGGAGAGGTGGTTCAATTTGGTCCGTTTCGATTTTTACCAATTATTTTTGAAATAATGGTGATATCGGAAAACTGACTGGATATCTTTCATCGCATTGCAATTTACTATCGATTGCCGTTTTCCATTTGACTTGACTTTTTCCGAGGGGGTTTTGGTCAACTTTGGAAAATGGGAAAACTAAATCTGCCATTTTATAGATTCTTGCTATGACATGAACAAAATGCAAGAAGTTCCTTCGTAACTTTATTACTTTCCGAGAAAATTGCGTCGGAAAATTGATTTTTATTATGGAAAAAATAAATATTTTAAAAACTCACCTTGCATAGAATTTGATTAAGGACAAAATGCTGCTTTTGGTTTTTCTTTATCTTTATTAATTTCTGAGATAATCGGTAATTAAGCTGCGCTGCAAGTTCACTTTTCACATAAAGGCATATTCCCGCTAAACCATGATTAGTATCAAAACAGAAGTTATGTCAATAAGGCAATCGAAAGGCAGTGTATACACTATTATTATTAATTTTTATTAATTAATGCAACAACTAAATAAAAAGTCAGGCGCCTCCGCCAAATTTTAAGCAATTATTCACAAAATTTTTCAATTGTTATTATCTTGGAAACTAAAACTGCCAGGATAAAAACAATTTTAGATTATTAAACCTTTAAACATTCTTTACAGGATAGGCTACTTAAACATGTTAAAATCGTTTTTTTTATAAAGACAAAATTTAACATTTTAAATGTTAAAATCCGTTAATAATCTTATATCTAAGAATTGACATTTGGATTGAAAAAATGAAACAACTCAACACTTTTGATTACCTCTTTTATTCTGCTATCAACAGTAAAATTACATCTTATCTCAAATTTCCCATACCCTCATATCTAAACTCGATAGCACAAACACCGCACTCATTTTTTCCCACCTTGTGAATGCCCTGAACCGATCCCGAATGGCATTAGAAGCAAGAAAATTGATGTAAACTCTTCGCCATATAAACAACTCGCAGCCTTACTACGGCGCAAAAAGCCGCAATTGTTCTTTGGTCACAGCGCGGAAAAAGCTGATGTACGACAGTCATCCGCTGCATTCCACGCTTGGGCCTCTTATCGATGCGCGCCGGGCGCTCGCGACCATCTAGATTACCCCTGTGTTGCTTTTCTTCTTGACCCGAGCGCGAGCACAGCGCACATCGACGACTACACACAGGAAAACACAAAAACGTCCCGCCGAAGAAAAAACCCAACTGGCCGATGGTCTCCAACTCTCCAACTCCGCAGCAAGACGTAACATACGCTCTCTTATCTTGGACCGGCGCGAAGTTTTTTACTTGCGCACACCTAACGTAATGAGTCAATTACCGGAGCGCATCTGATAGCAGCGGAACCTCGGCGACGCGACACATTATAATTACCGGGGCACCGGCCGCATTTACATAAACACGATCCGCTCCGATTGCTTATCGTCCGGGCGCAAAATGTCCGCGTTTATCCATTAGACCACGATGACTATCACAATGTTCCTACTCATTATAACCAACAACATTATCAGAAGAAACAAATAATTCATTACAGGAACCAATTTATTTATTAATATACTTAAAAACACTTTAAAACTAATTTTCATAGTTTTTTTTTATAAGAAAATACAAGAAATTAATTGTTAAAATTTATTCCTACACATAAACAGTCTTTAAGTCTTTAATTCTGATAAAATAAATTAAGAAACACGCATAATCACCTTATAGTAACGTGTCTAATTCGCTCAGAGGTATTCTGAAGTGTTCCTCTCTGACACACGGTGTCCTCAAGCGTGGATTCAGACGTAAATATCCATGAATGTCATCTGGAAAGAAAAAACAAAATTTATATCTTATCTTATTTTATTTCAATATTTTTTTGCGTTACTAATACTAACCTGTATACAATTTAATTAATCCATCCAAATATTTAACATGACATCCTTCACTAATATAATACCCATTGATATTGCTACGAATCTGATAATGCATGACAGTTGGCTTCCCATTGTCCTCAGAACGTATCGACAAGGAATACGCTTGTCCCTTCGAGCTGGATTTGCGCACCAGGAATGTCCCCACACGCGGGGAATTCAAGAGAAGATATCGAGCTACAGGGCGTGTTATGTTATGGAAATACCAACTAAAAATAAACAGTATTAAATGATGATTAATATGATTTCATGTTTTGTAACTTACGGTTGTAATTCAACAATTGGCACATCTTCTAAAAGTGCTTTCGATACATATCCAACCAATCCATTCCTCACATGTCTCGCACGATGAAGATATCGATGCTCGTACGCCTCGTCCACTTCAATAACATCACCTGTGACAAATGTCAACTCCGTTGGGTCGACACCAATGAAATTACAATTAGTTCTGAAATATCTAACGTTATGAAACTCTTCGTCTTCGTGACTTCGATTCATAGTCGGTTTCAGAATGGAATACGCATTCTGCTCGGCATAACCTAAAGAGCAAAACGTTGTTAATACGATATGATTTGGTTATTTCGATGACAAATACTTACGACGATTGACAATGTTCTTTAGTGTGTCACCTTTGCTTCTCGGGCGGTCTGTAGTCTTCCAACAACACATATACTTACACCAGCTCATTGTTTATTTGGTCTGTGGGTATTTAATTGTTTGAAATTCTTGTTTTAAGTTTTTTACGATGTACGTTTGGCAGACTTACACGACAAATGAAACCGTGTTTGAACAAGCATTCTAGGAACTTATCAGTTGATAACGCAGTTTCGTTTCCTGCGCAATTGCGATAAGAGTATTCAATTGCCGCGTTGGAAGTGTCTGGAAATTTTGTTTGAAGTGCAGATAGAAGTTCATTAAAAATTTATTAATATTAAATCTTATCGATAGATTAAGCTATTAATGTACATAATTATATCAAAGGTGATATTGTGTTATGAAACAACTTGAAAGTGCGATTAAAGATAAAAGGGTAAAAAATAAAAATAAAAATTTTTTGCTAATTTTTTAATTGGCAGTGAATTATTTATAAGGGATTGTCCATTAATCACGTGAGGCATGAAGGGGGGGGAGGGGTTTGTTAAAAATCACGAAAAATCACCAGGGGGAGGGGGAGTGGAGTAAGATATCACGTGTATTTATTTTTTCGTCAAACGCACGATTTCTAAAGAGAAAAGCGGCGTGTAGTAAGCCCTTAACTTGCCGTTGCCAGGCAAGGAACGGAGGCCTCGCACGCCGACCACCCGGCTTGTCATGCAGTCGCCAATAGTAGCCCGCCAGTTATTTCCCAACATCTTTACTTAAGTACTTTTATTGCTCTTTTACTTCAAATTCTACTACTTTCAGCATTTACTTTAATTTTTATGTCCCGTAGTGCAACTTCCTTCTCACCATCTGTGCCTTCTAAATTCTTCAACATCTGCATTGCATGCCATGGCCCAAAATTCTATTATTCTTTGTAAAAATGGTAATTAATTGTAAAAATTTTATTATTCTTTGTTGGGATTAAAATACACGTGATGATGGGGGTGGGGGTGGGGTAATCTTAAACCTCACGACGTATCACCAAGGGGAGGGGGGGTCCAAAATATGAAAAAAAAAGATCACGTGATTAATGGACAGCCCTAAGACATTATTATATTGTTTGTAAAAAGTTTTTAGACACTTAATAAACATCATTTTTGTTTTCCTGCTTCCTCTCCATTAAATACTGATACAATTCCTTAAAACTCGGCCGTTGGGCAGGATCCCTACTCCAACACTTCCTAACCACATTATAAACATCCTTCGGCATATTTTCAGGTTGACTCATCCTCATTCCCTGACAAACTCTTACGATTATATCCTCCCTCTTCAACTTGAACTCCGCATACGGTTTCTCACCCCGCCTAAACACCTCCATGGTCAGGATACCAAACATCCACACATCCGACTTAACCGTAAACTTATGATCCTCTAACGACTCCACTGCTAACCACAAAACCGGAAGTTTATTCGCCCCACTCTTATAATAATCATCATCCGGGGGTAAATTCTTCGACAGGCCAAAATCAGCGATTTTCGCGCATAAATTTTCACCAATCAACACATTCCTCGCTGCTAAATCCCGATGTAAAACTTTATACTTTTCCAGGAACCTCATACCGTCTGCAATTTGCTCCATGATAAAGAGTTGTTCCTGTAAAGTGAGCTCATTGTTATGCACGTAGGTTTTCAATGTGTCATTACACATATACTCCATAACCATAAAATGTGGCGGGGAGGAAATGTTCGCGCCGTACATAGTCACGATTTGGGGATGATTAAACTGACACACTTGTTTGATTTCAGCGGTAAAGTCAGCCTTGCGCAAGATGTGCTTGATGGCCACCGTGCGATTACACCAGACACCTTTGCATACAACTCCGAAAGCCCCACTGCCGATTTCATCACCCATTTCTATTTCACTGCCGGCAATGTTGATGATTTGCTCTTTGGGACATGGTTTTGATAAGAATCCACTCTCTAATGATTAATAATTAAAACTTGAAATCAAAAAATTTTTTTGAGGTTATAGTCTCACCTATGTAGCTATCTATCAATGCAGCCAACGTAACGAAATTCTCTTCACCTAATTCACCAAATAATCCATTTTTCTCCGATATTTGAAAATGTTCAACAAGACATTCTTTTGTTTTATCATTTTTTATGCGTTTTACTGACAATACATAGGGTGATTCATCACTGGAACACTTCCGGATCAAGTAAAGTCCATCCTCGTGGTCAGCATTTTGAAGAACCAGCGTTGCATGGTCACGATCATTAATATTCATAAAATACCACCTGGAAAACTCCTCATAACCAAAAATAAAAACTTTATAATAAATTAATAATTACGGTTCCTCTTTAATGTCCCGAATCTTCGCCAGATACACCAAAGGTGCTTTGTGTATATTCCCTTCAGAATCCCGCACAGAAATCCATGGATTATCCACGTCTGCATTTTCATCAATCTGCTCAACCTGGAGTCCTTTCTGCAGCCCACGAAAATCCCACTTGACATAATACTTATCACTATCACTCCGGTTCAAACTTGGTCTACCATTACCAGAATCTTCATCATCTTGCACAGGTGCAGAGTCAGTTTCATGCACACGTTTTGACTGGGTAATAATTGGTCTCAACTCTGTGGTGGATAATAAACCCTGTTTGTCGTGGATATTATGTCGGAGTGTGTCATTGTCATTGTCTGAAGGGCAGCAACAACGAAACAAGCACGACATATTTGTTGAGAATACGTTTCTGAGCTGCCACGGGCGTTTTCACATTTTGCGCTTGAAATGATAAATACCCACACAGAGACGTATCAATTCTCACATCCCGGATATCATCTAATTTTTGGATAACGTTGAATGTCATTGAAAATTTATATCAACGGAAATTAGGCATGTGCTGTAAATACGCCTCTTGTTATACAGATAAGATTGTGAGTCTGGTGTTTGCTAATCTTAGAATATATTTACGATTCGCAAACATACGAGAATGATAGAAATTCATTCAAATTTAAGTAAACATTGTAGGATCTGTTTGAAAGTTGGGCGTTTCTTGGGTTTTTCATGCATGCAATCCATCTGCAACTGATAAATCTTCCCAGGCATGTTTTTAGGTTGTGGCAGGCGTGATCCCTCCGTTAATATTTTGATAAGTGTTGGTTTATTAGGTCCTACATTATTGAAGGGCGCCATTCCTTTGGTGTAGATCTCAAACAACAACGCGGCAAACATCCATACATCCGTGGACATGTTATAAACACTTTTGGTTAGACTCTCCAGTGCTTCCCATTGGATAGGTGTTACTTGGCTTTCTGTTTTATAGATTCCCTTATTTGATTTAAGCTTCCGACTTAAGCCAAAATCAGAGATTTTTGCTACTTTATCCATGGTTACCAAAACATTGCGTGCGGCAAGATCCCGATGGATGTAGTTCTTCTCGTGGATATAGGCCATTCCACGAGCAACCTGTGTTGCGATTGCTAATAGTTGATTATCAGTATAAGCGTTGTTTTTTAACTGATGTTCTAAACAATGGTCGACGTATTCAAAAATAATCCATTCGTGGGATTCTATGTATCCGTAACATGTGACCACGTTGGGATGGTGAAGCTCCCTGAGAGGAGCTAATTCTTTGGCCCAGCTGTCAGGTTCTTGATCTCGTAATTCCTTAACAGCTATTTTGAATTGTCTGTAGAGACCCAGATGAACAAAACCAAAATTCCCTTCGCCTATTTTTCTCAAAAGTTTGATCTCCATGGGTTCAATGGGTTGGTTACGAGGGGCAAGTTGGAAGATCCTCGGGGTGGATTTCGGGCATATCCTTTGAAGGCGATGGACAAGATTTAACTTATTTTCATCATCATCTAAATATATCATCAGAAGTTATAATAGATCATAACCTAAAAAAAAGTCAGCAAAGCAACCAAACTTACTTTGATAGTAACTCATTAACCTCCTAATAGACAAATCTGTAATATTTGTATGGATAAAGAAACCCTTTGTTTCATGGTAACAAATTTTATATTGAGCAACAGGTTTCTCTCTTAGATTTGTTCGTATTGAAAGAGCCAACTCTTTCTCTTGACTTGATGATGGTCTGACTAAATATGTACCTGGTGGTTCCTTAAGGAGTAATTCAATGGCCTCTGTTCTGGATAACTCCGGGAAATACCAACTACAAATTTATTTTTATTTTTTTTCCATCAAAAAAAAATTTAAAAATAATATTTACGGAATTGCTTCTATACTATCCGGTTTCCTGAGATAAGCCAACGGTAACATTCCAATCTTTCCATCTTTAGACTTCGCTTTAACCCAATGTTCAATCCTTTCAATAACCTGCACTTCCTCCCCGGCTTTCACCGTCAATTCCCCAACCCTTGGTGAAATATAATCAAAAATCACCACGAGTGTCTTACTCGGCGCTTGTAACGTATCATAGAAATACGTTGCCATTTCAAGGCTAGCTTCTCAACTGAATCACCCAACCGTAATTCTCACATCAGAGGAGATAAGGTGTCAACGATGCGCGGTGAGTAAATGTTTGTTATCTTACACTCGTTGACTCACTAATAATACTAATACACCTCCAACTCTCCGCGAAAAGCTAATAAATGATTTTTTCCTGTGTAAAAATATAAATCGACCGCAATGGCAGTGTTTATGTCGTCCCGTCGGCCATTACGACGAAAAAACTCTTCGCAGCGCGAAAAAAGCATGTCACATGAAAATCTAAAACCGCGACGAGTTACACCTGTAGATACAGTGTATGTGTTCGGGAAAAAAATCGATGTCCTCTCATCTTCATCGCCGTCGTCGTTCGCATGTAAAGCACGTCCGCGCAGGAAGCGCTCCGAGAGCTTCTCGGAAGGAGTCGCCCCGTCGAACTGTCTCAATACACGCGAAGGCACACTAAAGTTAAACAGTTGACGTGAGTGTGAAATAGTTTACTCGCATTTCGCGCGCGGTAATAAATAGAGCGCTGCGTTGTCCCGCACATACAAATTGCGCCATCAGCCGCCAAACATGGACTCTTGGTGAGCTTTATGCGCTTTTGTGTTAAACGCATCCAGCAGCAGCAGGAAAAAAAATAACACAACGCCAACTGTTGCAAGTTACAACGCATGCTTTTAATGGTTGTGGACGTGGTTTTTTTTCGGAGTCAAAACTTTTAAGTTACAACAGTTAAATTTTATTTATTTCTTGACCAATGTCAATAAAGCAACAATTAGAATTACAAACAAGATGTGAGTTACAGTCAATTTCTCTGTGTCTGGGTTTTTGTTCCGTTAGAGGAGAATTAATTTCAAGTTGTCGATTTGTAGAGAGTTGAGTGAAATATTGAAGAAAACCGATGAATTGATGAAAAATTCAAGCGTTTTTTGCGTGGATTTTCCGGTTTTCCACGATTTTATGTTTCTAGATCGTCGATTTCATGGCAGTTGTCATCATTAGTCACCTGGGTTTTCATTTTCACAAAAAAACAGAATGATTTACTTATCGTGCAGTTTTAATGTTTTCTGTGGATGCATAATGCAATTTTGCAGTTATTTATTGTTAAATAATACATCACTTGTTGCAACCGAACGCGACGCACATAAATATTGTTCTAAATACTCGTAGTACCGTCAGTCGGAAGTAAATGCAAAATTAGATCTGTAAATTTCGATTTGAAATTCCGCTCGTGTCGCGCGGACAATGCGCTTTCGCGCTTGCACGGCCTTATCGATCGCGATCTGCGGGCGTCGATTTGACATTTTCGATATTAAAATAAATCCGCGCAGCGCGAATCTGCATCGTATCTGCATCTGCACGCGCTCCGCGCACCGCGCGCAAAAAAGCATCGGGAAATTCGTGCTCACGCGTTCGTGGATATGTATAACAACCGTCCCGAATAATTGGTGTATAATGGTGTTGGCATTCGAGAGCAGGCGCTGCTGCGGATCGTGTGAACGCAAATGGACAATAATAATGACGACGTTCGCCGATGCCGACGAAGGAGCCGGTGCGCGCACACCGCGCGTGTGGGTAGGTGTCGAGCGTTCCCACGACATCATCATCAAGCGAGGATCTGCGGCGGGCGTGTGTCGCTGCGGCTGAGCGCGTGATAACTGCTATCACAATGGGCCGGCGATGTCGGCGCGCAAGTGTAATCACAAAGAATTTTCGAGGCTTTCATTTCGGAGCGCGGCGTTTGATACAGTTCGATTTCAACAGCGAGTTTTTTCACACAGTCATTCGCCTCTATTCATCAATCTCACATAGAGAAAAAAAGCATTTTATTACGTTATGGAGAGGTGTATTTATTTAAAAAAAACAAAAAATAAAAAATATTGAAATTTTACGTGGATTGGCTTCTGTTTAATTAGTTTATAGTTAAAATTCATACGTTTTATGAATTATTTCATAAAAAACTGAGTTTTTATGTATTTCTGAACAAGTTAGGCAACTTTTTAACCACTAAAATTATAAACTACGTGATTACTAGGTTATGTTACATCGAGAAACAAAAAATTACTAAATTTTTGATTTTTTTAAATTTTTTAGTAAAAAATCACTCATTTTTGTTTTATTTCATTAAAAACTTAGATTTTATGTATTTTTGAACAAGTTAGGCAACTTTATTACCACTAAAACTATTAACTACATTATTTTTAGGTTATGTTACATTGAGGAACAAAAAATAACCAAATATTGACATTTTACGTGGTCAAGCATCTCTATAATATTTAGTAAGCTGGTTATAATCTCAATTACTCTTGTAAAAATGCCGGTAAATATTTCCTGAAGTCTAAATATGAATTCCGCGTCGCTCAGTTGTATTCACTTGTGTTATGTTTAAATGATTTTCTAGTAACGCAACGTGCACCCCAACAAATTAGCTGAAAAATCGTTCTTAGGTTATAGAAATTTGCATTGCAATTTGTAGGGATGTTGGGATCATAATTACAACAATATTTCAAATGTTACCATCGATGTCATGTTTTTAAAAAAATATTCTAGCTCATAATTGCTTGAAATGAAAATATTTTTCGTCATTACACAGAGAAACTGTAACGCTATAACGAAAAAATTAATATAAACCAACAAAATTGTATAAATTTCGTCGTTTTACAATTTTTTTTTTATTAAATCAAAATTAGACCAAAGGTGTATTTTAACATTTACTATTTGAGATTATTTAAAACAGTCTAATATAATGATAATAATTGAGCACAGAAGCAAATAACACGATACATTTCTCAACGTATTTCTTGGCGAACGCAGTCGTACATTTGTATCTGCATCAATTCGCCGATTTGTGCGCTAATTGTGATGATTACCTACCGCAAAGGTCACCGCCGCGAACAGGTTCTTTGCTTTGCTAAAATTATCGTCGAATTATTTTATCAACCTTGATAAATACCAACGTCTTCTTTGAATCCTCTCCATCTGCAATACAATCTAATTTAATCTAATCGAATCGAAATTACAACATCACACATCAAATATGAAAAGCAATTGCAATTTAATATAATTTATCTATTTTTATTTTTTTCCCCGCAGCTTCGAGGAATTACTTTGATTTGTTTTAAAGTAGACTTTCTTTATTTTTAGCTTAAATTGATACAAATGAATTTTGATAATTTCTGATTTGATTGTTTTATTGGTGTAATTGCAATTTGAAAACATTACGCATCACCATCGGCGGTGATTTGCGGGCGTGATGATAAAGTTATGACTCAATCAATCATGGCGAGCGCCCATTATATCAATAAATTTAAGCGCGAACGAGGAGAAAATTGCCGATCGCCCAAAAGTCGGAACTTGCCGCGCGCCCGCTGCTGGCGCGGCCAAAGCGACGCGAAACGATAGTTTAAGAAATTATTTATAACAAGCGTGCGCGTAACGAGCGTGCACCCAACAACCGGCCGGGAGTGTAATTTGGACAATTTCACCATTTCAACGATTTCAGTTTTATTAAATTCACCACGTAATAAATAAAATCAAAAGCAATGCATTTCTACAAATTTATTTACTTACAGATATCAAAGTTTTCAACTCAAATAAAAATTGTATGTAAATGTTGAATGAACTAATTTGAATGTTTTTAAAAACTGATATCTTTGGCAATTTGAATTTCCTCGTACGTTTATCGCGAGTCGGGCGAGTTTGCCATCCGCGTCACGATTTATTCGATGGCGCACATGCGTGGGAAAAACGAGCGCACACGAGTTTTGTGCCCTTGCGGTAAACTCGCGAGCAGAAGCGCGCGCGGCCAAAGAACCGCCAAGCATATGTAAATATTTCGTGCTCTTCGCGTATCTAAACTAAATCTCGCCGTGAGTCAAACCGTCGAAGACGACGCCGCGCGAAGATGCGGACGAGGACGCCGAGACGAAGAGTCATATGCGAACAGCGGCTTGACGACTTGACGAAACGTGTCAGTCATGTCATGTCACGAGAAGTATAACCAGCAACGAGACTACACGAAACTAAACGCCAGTTATTAAATCTAGGAGAAAAAGTGCCGAATAACAACAGAAAACTAAATTTTAACAACGTATTAATGAAAAATTCAGTATAAAAACGAAATTTGTACAATTTGTTGAGTTTATGTAAATTTCTTCGTTATAGCGTTACAGTTTCTCTGTGTAACGACAAAAAATATTTTCATTTCAAGCAATTATGAGCTAGAATATTTTTTTAAAGGCATGACATCGATTGTAACATTTGAAATATTGTTGTAATTATGATCCCAACATCCCTACAAATTGCAATGCAAATTTCTATAACTTAAGCACGATTTTTCAGCTAATTTGTTGGGGTGCACGTTGCGTTACTAGAAAATCATTTAAACATAACACAAGTGAATACAACTGAGCGACGTGGAATTCATATTTAGACTTCAGGAAATATTTATCGGCATTTTTACAAGAGTAATTGAGTTTATAACCTGCTTACAAAAAATTAAACAGAGCCAAACCATGTAAAATCTCAATATTTAGTAATTTTTTTGTTCCTCGATGTAACATCAACTCGCTATAACGTAATTTATAATTTTAGTGTTTAAAAAGTTGCCTAACTTGATCAGAAATACATAAAAACTCAGTTTTTTGATCAAATAATTCATAAAACGTATAAATTTTAACTAAAAACTAATTAAACAGAAGCAAATCCACGTAAAATCTAAATATTTGCCTATTTTTTGTTCCTCGATGTAACACCAACTCTCTATAACGTACTTTATAATTTTAGGGGTTGAAAAGTTGCATAACTTGTGCAGAAATACATAAAAACTAAGTTTTTTGATGAAAAAATTCATAAAACGTTAGAATTTTAACAAAAAACTTTTAAAAAATCTAAAATTTTGTTTTTTTTGTTCCTCAATGTAACATCAACTCGCTATAACGTAATTTATAAATTTAGTGTTTAAAAAGTTGCATAACTTGTGCAGAAATACATAAAAACTAAGTTTTTGTCAAAATAATTCATAAAATCTTTAAATTTTAACTAAAAACTTTAAAAAAATCT